ACGAGAATGGAGGTCTTTCCCTTCTCGCCTGATGTCGCCACTGCCGCATCCACCGTCGTTGGCCCTGTCGCCGACGCCCCCAAATGACTTGGTGAGTCCTTCGGTTCTTGAGTAGTACAACACTCTTCTTATCTCTTTTTGCTAAAATCACGAGATGTTTATATAACCATTAGTAGAAAAATGAGCAAACTAGATGGAGCAAACTAGACAGAATTATTTTGCGACTAGTTTGAGACAAACTAGACGAAAAAAATTCTGTCTAGCTTGCTTCGTCAAGTTTTAGGCTATCTAGACGGAATTTTCCGTCTAGATTAGCAAATTAGACAGAGATTATTTTTTAAAAAAAATTTCAGTCATCCTAGACGAAATTTTCGTCTAGCTTGTTTTCTAGACGGAATTTTCCACCTAGGATGCAAACCTAGATGGAAATTCCATCCAGGTTGCAAAAAAAAAAAAACCTAACCTTTCCCCACAAGAAAAAATTCCGTCTAGGGTGCAGAACAAAGATCTTCAATTTAAGGTCTAAAACATATAGGAAAAAGTCAAAAGACTGCAGCACATGAAGATTTGGGGCCTTGACACAATTTTTTCCTAAAAAGTTTTGCCGAAATTATCTTTTCATACTTGGGGCCCAACTTTTGTACGATCGTACTATGAAGCAGATTACAAATTTGCCCTTCAACTCCCAACCGGATAAGACTTAAGAGCCTATCTGCCTAGTGGTAGGGATGTAAATTTAACGCTTGAGGTACGAAGCTTGCCATCGAAGTTCGAGCCATTTTGATTTGCGAGATTTCCCTCCATTTTCTGGGCCCCACCCATGCTCTCACATCGAGACTCCTCTATAAATACGTGTATCTCGCCCCTCTCTCTCTTATCATTCCACCAAATTTCCAAAGCTAGAGATCATTGAAATCTCCAATCCCAAATCTCCATCTCAAGATCCCAATGGTCAACAACAAAGAAAAGGAGTACTATTGTATCATTTGTGGTCGATTCTTCTTTCGAAATAGCATGGAGGATCATTACAGGTATCATAGTGGCTTCAACGAGGGCTGCAAGCGTTGATTGAACAAGTTCAAGACTGTAGCCGATCTCGTCATCCACGACGCAACGAGGGCTGCAAGCGTTGATTGAACAAGTTCAAGACTGTAGCCGATCTCGTCATCCACGACGACAAAAGTCATTTCAGGAAATATTCCAGAGCTCGCTACGAGAATGGAGGTCTTCCCTTCCCGCCTAAAGTCACCGCCACCGCATCCACCGCCGACTGCCCCACTGCCGCCCCAATTGACTTGGTGAGTCCTTCGGCTCTTGAGTAGTACGACACTCTTCTTGATAAAATCACGAGATGTTGATATAACCACTAGTAGAAAAAAGAGCAAGCTAGACGAAATTTTTTTCGTCTAGTTTGACGAAATTATTTTTCGTCTAGTATGAGACAAACTAGACGGAAAAAATTCCGTCTAGCTTGCTCCTCAAGTTTGAGGCAATCTAGATGAAATTTTTCGTCTAGATTACTAAATTTGACAGAAAGGTTATTTTTTTTTTAAAATTCAAGGCATCCTAGACGAAATTTCCACCTAAGTTACAACCTAGACAAAAATTTTCATCTATTCTAGGCAGAAATTTCGTCTAGGTTGCCACAGAAAAAACTAAAACACTAACCTCTTCCTGTAAGAAAAAATTTTGTTTAGACTGCAGAACATAGTTCTCCAATTTAAGGGTTAAAACACATGAGAAAAAGTGAAATGGGTTGTAGCACATGAAGATTTTGATTTTGGGGGCCTTGACACAATTTTCCATAAAAAGTTTTGTTTAAATTATCTTTTCATACTTGGGGCCCAGCTTTTGCACGATCGTACTATGAAGTAGATTACAAATTTGTCATTCAACTTCCAATCGGATAAGGCTTAAAAGCCCAACTGCCCAGTGGCAAGGATGTGAATATAACGCTTGAGGTCCAAAGCTTGTCATCGAAGTTTCGAGCCATTTTGATTTACAAGATTCCCCTCCATTTTCTGGGCCCCACCCATGCTCTCACACCGAGACTATATATACGTATATCTCCCCCCCTCTCTCTCTCATCATTCCTTCGAATTCTCAAAACTAGACATCGCTAAAATCCCCAATCCTAAATCTCCATCTCAAGATCCCACCGAATTCTCAAAACTAGACATCGCTAAAATCCCCAATCCCAAATCTCTATCTTAAGATCCCAATGGTCGATGACGAAGAAAAGGAGTACTACTACATCATTTGTGGTCGATTCTTCTCTCGAAGCGACATGGAGGATCATTATAGGTTCCATAAGGGCTTCAACGAGGGTTGCAAGCGCTGCTTAAATAATTTCAAGACAGTAGTCGATCTCGTCATTCAAGACAACAAAGACCATTTCAGGAAATATCCCAGAGCTCGCTACGAGAATGGAGGTCTTTCATGTTGGATCCTTTATGCAATGCGCAAAACACTAGAGGGGAGGTGAATAGTATTTTAAAGAATTTTCTTGCGAAATTAAAAATAATTATGCAGCGGAATAAGATTATATCAATAATAAAAAAAAGAGTTAGAGTAAATCAAACCTGGGAAGAACATAATCGCAAACACAAGGATTTTATCCTGGTTTAGTCCTCTAGACCTCCATCCAGTCCCCAAGCAACCCGCTTGAGATTTTCCACTATTTTTGAATTTCCTTACAAGAATAATCCTTGCACAAACGTGACAGTTCCCTTGTCAATTTGCACACCATTTCTCAAACCATAGAAAGACTTACCATCCCTCAAACCTGAGAGAACCTTTCCTCTTCCCTCAAACCAGAGAGAGCTTTTCTTGACGAAGTTTACAACAATCCTATAAGTCTTGATGTGTAGTGAACTTAATTGATTTGTGGCTAATAGGAATTCTTAATATTTTGCCTCACTAAATATGTGAATTTTGGACAAGAAGGCTATAAAGAGAGTTTTTTAGAATTTCAGAGATTTTCAAAAGTCAAAGCATAATGAATCTTGTTTTCAAAAAAGAAAACCATGCCTATTATAGAAATCTTTGGTTGGCCTAAAAGGTTTGAAAAAAAATTTGAAAACCAAAATATAATAGTCAAAAGCTGACCCAAATTCAAGCACTTACTAGTCAAAAACTACAATTATAAGTCGACTAAAGTGTGGATAAGTCGATTGACCAGAAAGATTTTAATTTTGAGCAAATAGGCTATTCTGTCGACTGCGACCAGTCAGTTGACTGACCAGAAAAGAAAAATCACCAATTTTGAGCAAACAAACTAGTCGGTCGTCAGCTACAGTGACCGGTCGACTGACCAGGAAAGCAACATACACTAAAATGGACATAACTTCTTACTACGACATTCGAATTGAGTGATTTTGGATGCGTATTTTAAATATCTACGTGATGAATCCAAAATCATCCCAATCCAATGCTCTTATAATTTTATAGAGATTTTCAAAGTTAACATATCACTAAAACCTGTTACTTTTACTGCAGAAAATCTAAGCTTTCATTAGTTCTTTTATAAGTCGACTAGGAGTATCATTAGTCAAATATGGGACTTAGAATTTATAAACTAAGTCGTGATTTGTGTGTGTATCAATGCTTTTAACAATCTAAGATAAAGTAAAAGTTACAATATGAAGTCCAACTTTATCTTGATTTCTCTTCAGCCTTGCTTGATCAACTTGAATGATGTAACATGATAAATCTTTTGATATTGCTATAACTAAGTTAGCCAAACATATAGTATATTTGTATCATAAAAACATACCTGATTTCCTACGATCCCCCCCCTCCCCCCAAAAAAACCTAAATCTTCCCGGGTATTAATGTTATGACTACGGTTTGATAATTTGTCTCTTGAGTAGCAATGCTAATTTTATTTTACAGCAGTAACAATTTTGACCTTCGTGGCTATATATATTTCCATAAAACTAGCGTAGACGCTTTTACATAACATCTAGTAGACGAGTTTCATTGAAAGGATTTCAGTTATCATCTAGTTGCTCATATTGAGTTATTTACCTATATACTCGTTAATCTATTCTATTTTTAAATTTGTCCCTCAAATCTGATCAATATTTAGTAAGCTTGTACGATTGAAATTAGTGCAATTCGGAGGGATTATATTATTTGTTAGTCGGAGATGAATAACTATTATAAATAATAGTTATAAATAATAGTCATGTAGTGGGGTTCGACGTGTGATTTCAATGCTCTCAGCATTGTTACAAAGTCACACCATTTCATGTCTCACTAAATGAAGTTTTACTGCTAATTTTTTCTAATCTAGAATGTGATCAGTACATTCACATACTCTTTAAGTCAATAGGTATATGCTTGAAGTTCCTAGGGATGTTCATTCCTTGAGTATTGCCGATATATTATATGAATTAGTGCTTTTCTTGTCCTAAATTTTGAATGCATATTTTCCTCCATAGATACTTGTATCAATCACTAATGTATCAGAGGTGGAGGCTGTAATGTTTATCGACAATTTACGAAGAGCCAAAAGCTTATGTTGTTGTAGCAGTAGTTGCAGATCCACTTAAACTACATTCAATGTGGGCATAGGTTTTGGGTGGCTTCATGATTTGTTTGTTCAGCATATTAGCTACAATTCCCGTAATTTTCCAATGAAAAAAATGCAGTTTGAGAGTGCTTTTCTGGTAATAAACTTTTTATTTTAGTTGAAATACAACAAACTTTGTGTCAATAATTTACTTTCTTGATTGGATGCACAAGTCAATGCTGTGAAAAGCTGATCACATTAGATCAGCCATATTTTTCTTTCTGCTGCTACGCATCTGTTACGTGCAAGCAGAGAGAAGTACAACGAAAATAGGAGTATGATCATGTTGGAATATGTGATACTTTACAAAGCAAGCCACATCTTTTGCATTCATGATGAACTTTCGTGTGGGAGTACTACTATATTGATCTAACATTTAAAAAAAAATGCAAAGTTTCTATAGAGAAACTTCTATTAGTTATGGCTATGCTAATTCTGAATCTGATTTATGCCCAGATATCCTGCGCCGTCCAGGAGTCATTGTTGCTGGTGGTGTCAGTTGGCTGTTCGATTTCAAGTTCAGACTCCGACCACGAAGGTTTAGCAGCGGCGGTGGTCTCTTTGTTCTTCCCTTTGGGGTTTGCCCTGGAGATCAAAGGAAGATATGAGTGAGTTGTGTTGTTGCACAAACTGAAACAATTTCAATTCATCTTTACGTAAATTTCGCGTAAAGTTTGGCTCATTATGAGATAACCCTTGAACCCTTTAGCTACCCAAAAAAGAAACTTTGGGTTCTGTCACGAAACCCCCCAGTTTCAACATACGTCCCTAATGCCATACATAATGGCTTTCTGAAACTTTAGCAATAGTTCAAGGGGGGTTTTCTCAAAATAACCGTTGGAAGTTTGATTGGATTTCTAAAATAATGTTGAAACTCAGAGATATGTTCAAAATGTGAGAGGAGTAGTATGTTGAAAAAAATGAAAATGTTTGGGGAGTTTTGTAACAAGTCCCGAAGATCAGAGCAGCGGGTAAGTTCAGTGGGGTCATCTCAAAATGGTCCAATTAAACTTTAAGGGAGTTGTGCGAGATCTACCCTCAGCTTTAGGTATCAATTGTTAAAGGCTTTCAAAAGCGTCGTAGCAAATTTCTTACCTAGGCCATGTTTCCTATTACAAATGCGTTCATATATAAATATCAAAGACTCGTGAAAACTTTAGGACACATGAATATTAAAAACTCACCTGATTGCTTGACAGCCTTTTTGTCAATTTTCCTGAAAACTTTAGGACACATGAATATTAAAAACTCACCTGATTGCTTGACAGCCTTTTTGTCAATTTTCCTCGGGGAAGATTTACTACCAACATCCAAACACATTTGAGATGATGATCTTCTAAGAGGCAAAGGAGAAACAAAAGAATCATCATGAATCATCATATTGAATCCACTGTCATCCCCATAAGTAGATGTTCCCTCACTACCCGAATCCGAACTCTTCTCCTTGAGATAGAGGCTACACCTCTCCCTCTCTATCACTCTATAACAAAACATCTGAAAAGGGATATCCGATACTCTCGCAGTTTCTATGAATTTCTTCGAAAGCTTCATGTCGATCTCGAAGTAATCCACAGCTGGACAAGGCAAATCTAGGAGATTATTATCCATGTTCATGATCAGAAACCTCTTGATGTAACGAAGAACTCGAACTACAGAAGTGAAGCTCGGGCGCTGTGCTGGCTCAGCTTGCCAACATCTTTTTGTCAGGCTTGTAAGACATCTAGGAGACGGAAAAGGAAATAATGGTCTTTCTCCTGCTCTTACATTTCGACTCGTTTTATCTCCTTGAAGATGATCATCTTCGAACGGTACTTTTCCTGTCAATAGCTCGAAACATATCATCCCAAAGCTATAAACATCTGCCTTCTCTGAATACTTGCTTGTGGATTCTTCCATCAGTACCTCAGGAGCATACCAAATGCGTTCATAACCTGTTGACCCTTTTAATTTCTTTCCACTTGAGAGAGAAAACTCTGCAATCTTTATGTGCAAGTATCCATCGTGCGACGAGTTTCTAGTCTTCACAAGGATATTTGAAGGGTTTAAATCTCCGTGATAAATTTGTCGAGAGTGGAGGTACTCCATACCTATAGCAACTTGAAGCATAATGTCCACTGCTACTATAAGAGGAAAAGGAATCCTCCTCCTTGTGCAACAAATCTCTTTTATGTAGCTTGCGAGATCCTTGTTCATTAATTCCATTACAAGAAAACACTCCTTTTTTTCCTCATCACAGAATGCATACATATAATGCATCACATTTGGATGTGAAATAGAGGATGAGAGCGATATATCTTCAAGTAAAGGTTCGACATCTCCTATAAAATGTCCAAGCACAAAGCTCTCTCCTAGCCAATGTATCTCCTTGTATTTTCTCCCAGTGCTTAGTCTTCTTCTCACAAAGTAATCCTTTGAACCAACAAGAATAGAGACAGGAAAGAGCTTTCCCTTTGGAGATAATACAATTTCAGCGAGTTGGTTCTCATGCTTCGATGATCTCTTCCTCTCAGAAATTGCCTCCGATAAATTCCATCGATCCTCTTTCGTTACACTATCTAGTCTGCTGCTCAATTCTTGAGATACCAAATATCTCTTTCCATATTTAATTTGAAATAGCTTTTGATCCAGCCAGTCTTGATCGTACTTTTTAGAATGGATGAGTCTTTTCTTGTTGATCTCTTCATGATCACAACCTGAAATCTCTCCAGCATTTTCAATGGCTTCATACACAATCGAAATGCACGATAACAAATTGTGGAGATGAAAATTAACACAATCAGTGTTATGGTTTAGAGAGATAGCCTTAGCCCAGAAATCTTTTGGCTCTAAACAATTTTTGATGTACTGTTTTCCTTCTTTCATGACCCTGTGGAGTTCTCTCAAGGGGTTTTCGAGTGCGCTCCATTTTGTGTTCTTTTCGTCGAATTTTAGATTGAGTTGCATTTCTTCGATGATGCCTTCAAAGGCGATGTTGTAAGCATCTGATAGTAGGCGACATTGTCTTTGGTTGATGTGTATTTCATCTTTGAAGACCATGAGAACTTTGAGATTTCCTAAGACTTCTCCAATTTGTTGCAGTTGATCCATTACCGCGTCTGAAAATGAAAAGCCTGGGAATGAAAATAATTTGTTCTTCTCTCTGTTGATGGAACTTTCTGCTAGAATCAAAAAGAAAGATGAAGCCATTGTCTATCGATCAGTCACAGGAAACATATACTAGAAAAACAAACATTATAGAGAAAGTTCGAATATGTTAAGACTACGAGATAAAGCATAGATTATGATTCCACAAATGTTTAATCTTGAGTAAATTAATAATCATACAAGGTTCAAAAAAATATTTAATAGGAAAATGGAACCCCCTCATAATGTTAAAGCCAGGAGGTAAGGTTTTATCTAATGAAAGTGCATGAACTTTTATACATTTTGGATATTTTGAATGTTAAGTTCATATTGTGAATGTATTTTGTTCTTATGAAAATTTTCAACCTACTGACTAATTTCAAAAAGCACAAGAAAAGGAAATGGGAAGGGAGGAAATAAAATATTGTCAACGATTCCTCCATGGAGACCGTAATTGAGGCCTTTAATTAAACTTACATACAAACAAGTCAATCAAAAAGAAGGAAACTAAAGAAACATGTATAGCCAATGGAAAAGAACAATTGAAATATTGCATGATTCAAGATATAAATGACATTCATAAAATGATTCCTTACAAAATCTTTTGTCGGTGCATATGCAACCTTCAATAGAAAAAGCCCAATGCTAGAAAGCCAATTTGTGTCGGTATGGAACAAAAAAAAAAAAAAAAAAAAAAAAAGAAAAAAAAAAAAAAAAAAAAAAACAATCGAGTTTCTTCCCTTTTAAAACGAAGATTTAGTTTCAAGGAAATTCAATGAAGCTTGAGAAAGGATTCAAAGAAATGACACATCCAAAAGAACGGAGAAGGAGAAAGGGAGGATAGAGTGAACTATTTTTGGAAAATGATGAAGAAATATAGGCTAAAGGGACCCAAGTCAAACACTTGGCATATATTTATATTTAAAAGGAGAATTTAAAACTTCTAAATCGGTTTCCTTTTCAGTTTATATATATCGTTGAATACATGCTGAAGAATTTTCACATTTTCACATTTTCAAATGCTAGACATGAAAAAGGTATTTTATACAATTACTTTGGGGTAAAAAAAAAAAAAAAACTTTGGGGCACTTTTCAAAAACCTCATCAGAACTTTGTTTATTCCATCAAACTTCCAGAAAAATTTCGTGAAACCAATTAAATATCTAAAAGTTGGTCGTCTTTTAAAAGCTATAATTTGTACATAGTCGTGGCGGTCAGTTCCGTGTATTTAACAGAGAATAGTTATTAAAATTTTACCAACCTTTTGAAAGTTGGTCAATTTTTGTAAATGAATATTAAATGAGTAGAGTCTTATAGTTAAATTTAGTCATTGTTTTTCCTTTAAAATTGTTTTCAAGAAAGATTTATTCTTGAAAAATTACTTTCAAAATATAGAGAAAAAAATGAAATTAGTACATGTAGCGTAAGTGAAGCTATTTTTAGACCAAGGAAAGGAAAGAGAAAAGGGAGAAAAAAAAGAATAGGGGGGCAAAAAAATATTAATGCTCTTAAATAAGTTAAAGTAGAACATTCAGATGCGGATCCGTTTGCCAAACGGAGTCGGATCTGTACCAATCAAGACCCGTTTCCAGTACAGTCCCAGCAGCAGATCAAGACCGTCCCTCTCTCCATTAGCCGGTTCACAGAGAATTCCAAGCTCTGTTCAGATGTCGAAAGCGAATAAACTCCATTAGCGTTACATCCGAGAGAGAGCGAGAGAGAGAGAGAGGGAGATGAAGTGGTATTTTGTTGCAGCTCTCCTCACTCTCCTCACGAGTTCTCAGGTAAAAAAAACCCATGAAACCTTTGATCTTCATCTTCGTTTCTTGTAGATCCGTCTTTTTTCGACCAATTTTAGGAAATTTTAATCACTTGTTTCTATTACTGAAACCTTACTCGGGTTTATAATTCATTAAAAGGGTTCATCTTGATTGTGGATTCCGTTGATGCTTGTAGGGTTAGTTGCACTTTAATGCCCATATTAATGTTTGTTTGATAGATTTTTAACTTCGATACCAAGAAAGTTTAAATTCGACCAATTAATACCCTGAGGTTTTTAGGAATTTAAAGTTTTGTTAATGTCTTCTGCTACATTATCCTTGAGAATTTAATTAAAAGGCATCACAGAATCATCAGATGATAGTGTTTATATTTATATACCTCGAAACCGAAGAAGAAGTTCACTGAATCCCTCTCTTCCTTAGAAAAAATAACCCCTATTTAACAGTATTCAAAAAAAAATAAAAAAATAAAAAAATAACCCTAAATTGAAACGAACAATTAACAAGAAGGATTTTATGGGGAGAAATTGAACGGTGAGGTAACGGAAGGTATTATTAAAGTACAAAACGTTGAAATTATGGGGTATTATTTGGGAAAATATTAAACTTCAGGGTACCGAAGTTAAGTTAAAACTCGATCGATGAAACTTTAGGTTACTAAAATGCAAACCGTGATTATGTGAAACTTTCTAGTTCGCGATCATTGTTTGAGCTTTTCTGCTGCATTTATCTACTGAATCGAATATATTTTGGGTGAACCCTGAAAGACTTTTTTTTAAAAAGCCGTGGGTATTAGAAACACTGCTACATGATCCATGTGGAGATATTTTGTTTATTTACCTTCATACTATTTTAGCATTTAATAGGATATTGCCAATGTCGATAATAAGCATTTAACTGTTAAACATTTGCTTATATGCCAGGGAATTTTGACAACACTCTCACAGACTAATGGCAGATACAGATATGATTATGCTACCATTCCATTTCTTGCAGAAATCTTCAAGGTGCCTTTCTCTCGTTTGCTTCTGGTTTCTTCACACACAAGCTCAAACTTTGGAAATGCTTTTTACCTGATTGTAATTCTATAAATACTTCCAATGTTTCTTTCACAGTTAAAGACTCATGAACTGTTCGTAATCAACATTTTTTATAATATTCGTATTCCTGCTAAAGTATTTGTACTTCTACTCTTAAATTTCAGCTTCTGGTTTCCGGCT